TCTGCTACCCTGTTTTTTGCAAAAAATGGCATTAGTGAAAAACTGTGACAGATAAGTGTTGACAAATGGACATTCTTAACTCACAATTTAAAGCTAAATCCAAATATGAAATCAAAATGGGAACTTTCCGTTTAAAAAATCCAAGATGGCGTCGATTTCCGATAATCCAAAGTGCCGTCATTTTGAAAATACTATATTTAGACTTGTAGCAACCGATTATGGTTGCCTACCAAAGTTCATAATAATAAGATTTCGAGAAATAAAACTTCTAACGAACGGGCTACGTGAATCACCCTGTATTATTATGTACCCGTAAGATATCTAAGTATGCGTTTTTCTCGGTAGTTTATTTTTATCTTTAGTAACTTTATGCTTATAGATTCCTCTTTAATACATGTGTTCATTTTATTGTCATAGATCACGCCAAGCATTCAAACAGATTAGACGTATTTAGGTTCAGTGCTAGACGTGTGTATATTTAGTGCAAATGTGTATATATATATTTTTTTTTTGTTTTATCCGAACACCTACACTCATAAAAATATTCAAAGAATTTACCTGTTTAAAATAAACTCTGCGGCTCGGGTGCCGCAGTTTACTTTATATTTATTTTAATATTTAAAATAAAATAAAAATGTCAAATAACAAACAGCCAAATGACAATACTACGTACTCCGAATATATTGAACCGAATATCAATATTTCTCAACACGGCAGTATAAGTCCGTAATCACTAGCAAGGCTCAACCTACCTTCTACTCAAAGAACACAAAACACTCAAATTAGCCCTCTCACGATCATGAGAAAATATGGCTGCAGCGAATGGCAAACAATAAAAAAGTCACCTACAAAACGCCCAAGACAACCGAATAGTCCAACTGAACCTACTCACAAACGAAATCCATCGCTAGAACAAAGCAATAGATTTTCCATTTTAACACAAATCAACGATGAAATGGAAATCACAGATAGCCAAGTTAAAATAACACAAACCCAAAACAAAAATAAACCTAATCCGCCACCTGTCTACATTCCTGATGTAACTAATATTAGCGTATTTCTTGAAAAGCTAAGTGATGTAAACTTACTCGAAGATATCAGATACAAAACTAATAACGGAAACAAAATCAAGTTATACTGCAATTCTACAAATACTTATCGAAACCTTATAAAGTATTTAAATGAGAACAATGCGGTTCACCATACCTACCAACTAAAGCAGGAAAAATCCTTTAGGGTAGTTCTACGCAATCTACATCCATCAACTAGAGAAGAGGATATTACGACAGATCTGAATTCCCTAGGACACAATGTAAGGAATGTGTCTAATATTCCAAGCAGAATTACCAAAAATCGGACACTATTGTTTTTTGTTGACCTTGCTCCACAGGAAAACAACAAAGACATTTATAAAATAACGCTTTTAGAAAACGCTGTAGTTACAGTTGAGCCTCCTAGAAATTCGAGAAACATTGTACAATGTACAAGATGCCAAAGGTATGGACATACTAAAAACTACTGCACACGACCTTTTCGATGTGTCAAATGTACTGGCGAACATCCTACCACTTCATGCACTAAAAACAAAAATTCTCCAGCAACTTGTGTTCTATGCGAAGGATCACATTTTGCTACTACAAAGATTGTACAGTTTACAATGAAATACAAAAATAACAAAATCGTCGAACAAATGCAAACCCACGACAAAATAACACCAAATTTAATACCACTTCTACTTCCTCCCAGGAACAACAAACCAGAATTCCTCATAGAAATCGGACATACTCTGAAACCTTAAAAAATAACAAGCTTCCTGAAATCAATACCGCTCCCGCAGACAATAGAAACCTAAATGCCCTTTTCAGCAAATTAGAAGGGATACTAACCAAATAAGCTTATCTGCTAACATCACTAATTAACTTTCTAACCCACCTACTCACGACAATATCTAAAAATGCCCCATAACACACTCAAAATAATTCTTTGGAACGCTAACGGGCTTCTTCCTCAAGTTGACCTCTTCCTCAAAACAAACAAGATCGACATTCTTCTAGTATCAGAAACCCACTTCACTAATCTTAGAGATAGATACTTTAAAATCCCAGGATACTCTATATACAACACTCAACACCCTGATGGCACCGCTCACGGAGGAAGTGCAATTATCATCAAAAATCAAATTATACACTATGAAATGGAAGCATACCAGTTAGACCACA